CCCCAGCACCGCATAATAACATCCCCTTCGGTAGGCATGCCGGGGAGTGAGAGGGCTTTCCGTTTTTGTTCCCGCTTTCTACCGCATCCGGCCAGAACGATACTGCTGGGTTCTGGTCACGAGTGAGCAAGTGAGTGAGAGAAAGGAGTACCGTACCGAGCCCGCTTTAGTATGATAGACGCACGATAACCTCTTACAAGTACCGGGTGAATGTATCGTATTGTGCCGTAGTGCGATTCATGGGGAGGAGATACAGAGACCGCGAAGGTAAGATGTATCAAGTACAAACGTTGAAACTGGTGAATTTCAACTTCCCCCCCCTTTCTTTAGTTCCTCTTCCCCCCCGCCCCCACAACCATGGCTTTAGAAAGATGCTTAGAGTTCAGGATATGTTACCCGGATTAGAAGTAGTCTCTTTCCCCTGGGTGCAAAGCATAGGGGGATCTAGCATAAAGTTCGCCTATAAGATACGGAAAAAAAAATTTATTCAATGTCCACAGTTAAATCCATTTCTCCCAAACTCCTTAAGCACAGTCAGAAGGTTCAACTATCGGCAAGACTACTGTGTTATCAAACGAGAATTTAGGTAAAATACACACCTTTGAAACTTGGCGAATAAACACTTCATCAGCCATGCCCACCCGGGCCGAAACTCGGCCACGAGAAATCTGGTCACGAGTGGAGGTTTCGGCGCCTCGCCGCGCCGCAAAGGCGTCCAGTTACCGTAGTACGGTAATAACAAAGTTACCCGCGATACTGTACTTGTATCTCCAGGTCAAAAAAAATCGACAAAAAGGCGCCCGAGCGCACCAACACCATTCTCGAGCATCCGTACTTGTACTTGTACCAGGATGAATCCAGCCTAAGCGGGGCGAAACCATTCCCAATCCAATAAGCCCCCTCTGAGATCTTCAAGGTCTTGCGCCATCGGTCTCAAGATGGGGGGGGGGGGGGCTCGGCCGCTGCCGGTATGATACTGTCTTAGAGCATTATGAGGAGCAATCAGATAGATATATGCACCCCACCCCCGAAGCCAATGAGTTCCTGCTCGGCGGTCTCGCATGACACAGGTACTTGTACCTGCATGTACCATCATATACTTAGTGGTACAAGCAACACGGTAAATGTCTGATATGTTTTCATCCCACCCCCCTCCCCCCCCGCACTAGCACAAGACACGATATTATACGGCGCCAAAACTAGGAAGGGAAAATAAGAAAATAAAGAAGAAAGAAAAAAAAAAAGGAAAAGTAACCCCTTATAATACAGAAGACCCCCTGTAAACTATAGCAACGAAAAGGGAAACAAGGCAAGGGCAATCCCCTCTTCAAGCGCGATAACTTCCATCAAGTTATGGTAGGGGAGAGTTGGTGGTGTTGGATAGAGTTGAAATCGACAAGTACGGGTACCGTAGGCAGGTACCCGCTATCATTTGATACTGTGTCACAACGGCGGCGGCGGCAGGAGCAGGTAAACAATATACTGTACTGGGCTCTGTGCGGACAGGACTACGGGGGTATCAGACAAGCACAATGCTCGTGCAGTGAAAAACGGTTTCCGCGCATGGTACTTGTTCGGTCCAGCCCGGAGTTAGTATCATACTTGTAAGTTGTAAACCATACATGTTTATGTGGAGAAATGCCTCGGAGCCTCTCTTTTTTCACTGGGGAGCTCTTTCTCCTCCACTTTTATGGCGATTGTAGAAACTCCTCTCTAAATTTAGAGTATTTGTTGTCCTAGAGCTCACAGGCTCGAAACCCTCAGCAAATATTCGGGAGTCTAGCTGCCCCCCCCCCCCCCCCCCGCCCCCAGCTCCTAGGTTTCAATGTCACACTGAGCTTGCTCACAAAGGAGCGCCCAAGCTGATGAGCGTGAACGCTGGGGAGTTAGTCAAGCCCTCGAATTCCCCCCATGGTTTTCAGGCTAGTATGATAGATATCATACTAAAAAAAGAAAGAAAAAAGAAAAGAAAAAAAAGAAGAAACGAAAACTTGGAATTGTTTGCTATCATAAAAACCACAACCGTTTCCGCGATCACAATACTACCGTAGTTGCTTTTCTGACAGGCAACTATACGCACGGTACAACATCATACACTTCCCTTAACCACGTCATTAAGTCCAAAAAATTCGGTGTAACCGGAGTACTGTACTGCACAGCACTTATACCGTGTAAAGGATAAATCAGTGCCATACTTGTTTGTAGGGGTTAGTGCGAAATAGAGTGTGGAGATAAACCCCCCCCCCCCACAATTCCCCTTCGGGGCGGTCTTGCCAGTACCGGTACCGTAGTCAGCGAGTCGTTCCAGGAGAAGGGAGGAGGAAAAAGGAAGAACCTTGTATCGTACATGTACCGGTACCTGAACTTGGGGATGAAAGAGGCTTAAGGGGGCTCCGGGGGCGGAGCTGGTATGATAGACCACCTCGTGGATTTACATGATTAATTCAAGGTGGGTGTGTACTCGAGTACTCGAGTAGCTGGTGCGGGATATTCCGTCCGGGAGTGGGTGTGATGATCAGGCTTGATTTTACTTTTTTTTCTTCCTCACTCTTTGGTACCATACGGTAGTCCGGACACAGAGTCGTGGCCTGTAAGCACTTTTGTTTTGTTTCGTTTCTGTGTCTTTGTGCTCTACGGCACGTTTTGACCTCGCTCAGGTTCAGCGTCGAGTACGGTAGGATAGTTAATTACGGGAGAGCGATACCGGTACCGTACGGTACCATGATAGGTGAGCGGGGACATTCCTGATGTGATAGTGGCTTGAGTATTGGTCCAGTACTGAGCGGTGCTTCGGGTGAGTCTTAATTCCGATGGTGACTTCCCAATCCGAATGGCTATCATACGAGTCCGGTACCGTAGCCCACCTTGAGACTAGAGCCTCGCCGCAGAAGCAATCTCTCTTACCGATGCTTGGTAGTAATTAAGACACCCACAAATCAACTCCCCTCATCTGCTCCTCCTCAGGACCTCCGGAATAGTGCCCTTACCGGGCGGCAGCGGTCAATACCGTGCTGCGCCCAAAAGTGCTGTATTGATACGATAGGGCATCGACCACAATCAACCGTCTGTCTATCCAGGGAAAAGAATCGAAAAAACGAAAAGAGAGGAAAAGAAAAAAAGAAAAAAAAAGCAAATCCTCCCCCACCCCCTTCAGGACTCATGCAAGAAAGGTGGAACACCAACGATCATGGAAAGGTTGCAACGGCGACGTTCAATTGGATGAAGTCACAACGAGAGATCACCGCATCCGAACTTCCGACGCCGGGTTTCCGCACCCTCGTGGCACGATGGCAGCTTCTCTGCCACCCTTCAAACCACCTCTACTCTTACCACTGCCCGAAGGGATTGCGAAAGCAATCTGACAAGCATATCGATACTGGAGCATCACAGCCCTGCCCCCCAAAAAGCAAAGATAAGAATCAAAATAAATACCGTAAATGAAAGTTCCCTTCCACAAAGTGAAGGAGTTCGAGCACTGCACCGGTGCTGAATGGCATCACGAGACTTTCTTTTCTTTGCTTTTTTAAATTCTCTCTGCCTCTACCGTACTAGCCATTCCCCCCCCCAAAAAATTTGCGCAGTGTGTCCCTGTGCGGCGGAGGTGAGGAAGGGCAACGGCGGGGGAGATACCGTGCAATCATAGTGTCATATCGGTATTTGATAGAGCGCCATGTGGGAGATGGGAGTTAGGTTATGCCACATTTATCATACGATTTTAATCCTTCAACCAACTGTAAAAGTGGTCAGAAAAGGAGTTGGCAGCGGTGGTGGTGGAAGCAATAGTGGCATTGCCGTATTGTTGGCGCTGGTATCATATTGAAGGAGCCGTAAGAAAGTAAGCTTGAGGAAACTACTTATAGAGAAAGTCCGTATGGTTCCGGCCATAGAAAATGCGCTGGGGGTTAGTAATGCCGTATTGCTTTTTGAAGGAAAAGTCGTTACCCTTTACGGGGGGGGTGGATGGAAAAGGCAGCTGTGGAAAGATGAAATATGGTGGGAGAAGGTGGGATGGGTTGAGTTTGTTACCCTTGTCCACACCACGAATTAATTATCTTAGTCGTTGGCGCCACAGAACCTATAAAAATATTGGAGTTGAGTTGTGGCTTGCGTGTTGAATTGAATTTCAATGATGGTGTGAACAAAGGGAACGAGCCCACCCTTCTCACATTCACACCCTATGCGGCTGCCTGCTTTCTCTGGTCTGGTGATAGCGATGTGCCAGTACTCGAGTATTAATGTAATCAGTATCGGCTACATACTACCCCACTGCACGCATTGAGGTAGACGGCGGAATTTTCAGCTTTCACGAGGAGCCGACTGGGCATTCTTAAAACCAGTACAGATACAAATCAACCCAAGCCAGGTACCTGCTCATTAAAAATTTCGTGTCGCCGGTCTCCAGCTCGGCGCCAGACAACTGCAACTGGGTATCTATGTATCACAGGAGTAGAGCTTGATATCTGGGCAGAGGATGCTCCCCCTCTCCCCATTCCCCCCATATCATCACATCCCATCCAAACGGCAACCCTTCACCCATACTTTACACCACACCCTGTGCTGTGCCGTCACAGGTGACATTTCCAACCAACCATCCCCTCCCGTTCCCAAACGCCAAAGCCAAAGCAGCCCTGACAGAACCAACAATTAGAGTCCTCCCCATATGGTAGACCACCGTTTCCCCAGCAAGTAGCTTGACATCCCACAGAACCCTATCCGGTATATGGCACGCCCAGCATGGATTTTAAGCCTCTCCAAATTCCAAAAATGTTGCACTGCTGCAGTGCCCCCCCCAGGAGGGTTTGCTGACCCTGATCCATCCATCCATCCATCCATCCATCCATCCATCCACCGATCCCTCCCCCACTCCCATACCCCCATCCCTCCCGAAGCCGGGGTTAAGTATCCTTTGTTTAAAGAGCCATGCATCGCCCACCTGCCACCCCCCGTAGCTTGCTTGCAGATCCAAATAACCAAGCTCCTTTGCGGAATTGAGAAATCTTTTTTCGTTTATTTCCCTTTCACTCATATTCTCTCGGAGGAGGGAAGAGGGGTTTACTCAACTAAACACCTTACGATAGGTCGCGCACGGAGGGTGGCAGCGTCCCAGGACGCGGGTGGGTATCGATTGGATCCGAGTTGCGCTACTGCTCCCGCGAGTTTACGACTAGTGTCACGATCAGAGTATCTTTGCTTCCCCGAGCACACGCACATACAAGGCAGGAAAGGAAGAGAGAAGGAAAGGAAGTGGGTTGCATCGGTGATACACTGGGAAGGGTTTCTTTTGGGCAGGCTGGGCAATTGCTGTACCTACTAATTACAACGTTGCTTCACGAGCAGCGACCATACCTCACCATTCTCGTTTTGCCGGTATGTATTTTTTTTTCCACCCTTTTTTGTTTCCTTCACATACATAGGGGCGCTATGCTGGAGGTAGGTTGGGCTCGAGCTACTACTACTATTTGTACCATACTTGGACATTCTTTGGAGGTTTCGCATTTTTCTTTTTCAAGTCACTAGTATCTATCCAGTTTGACGGGCGGTCAGTCGGTATCACCCGATCTTGTTATTTTTGTTTTTCCATATTTCCTTTTTATAACTTTCCCTTTGTCGAGATTGGAGTGAAAAAAGAAAGTACCTTCCAGAAATATCTTTTGCTAATACAGTTAAAAAAGGTATAGACCTGCCTCCACCCAGATTCTCTCTCCAACCACAGGATCACAAGGAAGGAAGGAAGGAAGGAGGAAATAAGAAATCAAAAGAAGCGAGGCAAGGAAGCAATCGAAGGATACCAGGGAAAAGGGAAAAAAAAGGGAAAGAAGGAAGGAAATGGCATGGACAACTCTCCAACTGGAGATCCTTCAAACGACCTCCAGAGTATCTTCGGTATTCTCGCTGCTCGGTGCAGGTTTCATTATCATCACCTTTTGCGCATCAGCCTCATTTCACAAGCCCATAAACCGACTGGCGTTCTTCGCTGCCTTCGGCAATATATTGACCAACGTCGCTACAATAACGTCGAGGAAGGGAATTGAGCATGGGACCCAGTCTGCGCTATGTAAGATCCAAGCGGTTTTTATTCAATGGTAAGATCACTCCTCCGCTATTTTATACACGTAGAGAATCTGGGGCTAAGCACGAGGAACGACTAGGTTTATGCCCGCAGATGCACTATTTGTCAGTTAACCTATCATTCCTCAACCCGAAGAACAGAAAAGAGCTAACTCGGCTACCACAACCAGTGTTTAGCAATGGCCCTAAACGTCTACCTAACAGTGTTCAAAAAATACACTACAAAACGCCTGCGAGACCTAGAACTCACCTACATCCTCACCTGCTACGGCCTTCCCGCAATCCCGGCAGTAATCTTCCTGTTCATAAAGAACGACGAGGGAATATACATCTACGGCAGCGCAACACTCTGGTGTTGGATTTCCAACGAGTGGCAATTCCTGCGTATCGCCGCCTTCTACGGTCCCGTCTGGTAACCTCCTTCCCCCCTATTACCTCGTCATTGCAGCTAACCGAGAAAACTCAGGATAATCCTCGGCGTCACAATAATCATTTACATCTTAGCAGGCAGGGTGATTTTTCGCCTCCGCGGGTCGCTCCGTAACTTTGCGGGGAAATCTCCAGCAGAACCGCCAGTGAAGGGGACATGGAGCACGCAGAGCCACAGCATATCCCGCACCATGTCACCGGATCTGACTCCGGGGCCCACGGCCTCCATTAACCCGCCGCCAAGCTACACTGTAACCATCGAGTCCGGCCCCAAACCCCCGGCGGTGAACAATCGAAGGCCTAGAAACACCGCCGTGGAAGCCAACACTGCGGCGTGGGCATACTGCCGCTGCGCGATGTTGTTCTTTTTGGCGTTACTCATTACCTGGGTACGTCACTCACTCACTCCCTTTGACGAGTGACAACAGGGCGCTAATGGATTTCCGTGTATTCTTATAGCTACCCTCCAGTGTGAATAGAATCTACGGCCTCATCTACCCCAACGCAACCCACTTCGGCCTCAACTTCACCGCCGCGCTCGTCCTACCCTGCCAGGGCTTCTGGAACGGTCTCATATACATCGTGACCACTCTCCCCGCCTGCAAAGAGTTCTGCCGAAACCTGTGGAAGCACTTGCGCCGACCATTCCACATGATTATCCGGTGGAGGAGGGCCCGGCGAAGCATGTCGAGCAAGGCTAGCAGTATGACTAGTTTACAGCCTGTATAGATCGCGTTAATCTCCCCTCCTCTTATTTGCTGACTTAATGGATTGATTTTTGGGGTGTTTTTTTTTCTTTTCTGGTATCATATTTTAAGAGTGTACAATTAGTTACTATGATGGCGTTTTCGGACTTTTGGACTTTTTTTTTTTTCCTTCTCTATACCTTCTTTTATTACCCTCTCCTTCACTCTTCTCCCCCTCTTTTTCTTGCTCTACTTACTTGACTTGTGAAGTGCGGAGGCTGGGTGGATGGGAATCCGAGATGGGAAGGTACGGTACGGGGATTTCGGAGCAACGAACGCGAATGCGAAAGCAGAGGAACGATATTATTATCATAATTAGTAAATAGATAGTTTATTACGGGTATCTAAACATTCACGAACTTACAGGTGTTAAGTTACTCCTCCATCTAATAAATAAATAAATAAAACTACCTTTCTTTTATGCGTATTATCATACATACCTTACTCATCTGGCCCGGATCGAAGTTACCCTTCCCCGGGGGGGTTGTGGGGTGGGGGGGGGGGGAGGGTGGCCCACCAAAAGTGTCAGTGACGCGACTTCAATCCGGAGATACAAATACCCTATCGATAGTGCTCCGAGTAAAAAAAAAAAACCCTATGGATTAATCCGGATTACCCTTCCTAGTCCCCCACCAACTCTCCCGACCATTAAACTATCATCCCCGCCCCGCCTGGAAGGGGTTCGAAAAGATATCAGTTAATAAGCGACTTCCAATCGATAACTATAAATTTCGCGGACGCGTGTACCGTACAGACTCTATACCATAAATAGTATTAGATAAATAATGTGATAATATTATCATCGTGGCAGCGCCCATGCTGACAAGCCAAGCACAGAGGGATAGTCTACGGTACGGCATTGTACCATACCGAGGCAGAGGGTTTCCATCTCACCTTAGTCATCTCTGTCCCTGTAAAATTGTCAGGTTCTGCTACAAAACTTTCCCTCCACCCCCGCCCGCTCGCCAAGTCCTGAGTTAACCTACTGTACGGTAAGGTAAGCGCCGGGAAGGTATGATACCGGTGCTTATCATACAGTTGCCAACCCAGCATCTCACAAACTATCACTCGAATGTTTCATGTAAAAGGTTTGAGAGGAGTAAAAGTAAAAACCAGAGACGATGGGGGTGGAGGGGGAGGGTGGGAGGGTGGGGTATTCCACTACGAGTAAAATGATATCCAAACTCCTCACGCCTCCCCCCCCCCCCAAAAAAAAAAGACTCACGCCTCGAATACACAGCACGATCGTTTACCCACATTTGTCTACCCCACGCGGAAAAAGCGAGCAAAAGTCAATCCAGGCTGGGCTGCATTGTGCTTCTGCATTAAAGAGGACAACCTTTTCTTGGCAGGTGTCACTGAACCCCCAGATCGAGAGAGCACAGAACCGTACCGTACTGTACAGTACCGTTACCGTACTCGTGCATCGATCACCACTCTACCCTATTTTGGCGAAAAAAAGAAATCAGGAAAAAGACATTGGAGTGATCTGTTTTGTAATCCTCTTCTTTCCACTCCCGTGGATAACTTTGTTGAATTTTGCCGGATAGGAAACCAATTCTGGTGGGGAGTTCTGGGCTCTGTTCTCCTGACTGAGGTGCTTTGCAACTTGGAACGGAAATGGTGGGTGCTCCGTTGCATTGGTTGCTGACATGATATGCCCGCATACGACTCTTTTGCTTTTCTTTTCTTTGCTTCTCTTTTCTTGTTTTGTTTTTTTTCCTCACGGCGGTTGCAAACGAAACAAATGTGGTGGACTATTTCCATGTCCCAGAGGGTGATTGGTTTTTTCGGAGACGGCCTACTTGTTATTCATACAAGTCTAGTTGTTTACTGTACTGTACCTCCATGATGCACGGAGATATCCTGTTTTCTGTGTGCCATGATTTGGAAGGGAAGACAGAAAGAAGAAAAGAAAAAAAAAGTCGGTAAGATGGCTGAATCTGCTTGTGGATGGCAGGTGGCACAGCAAGTACGAGTACAAGTACCGGTACTGTACTTGTACAATAAGAATATGGGGTTGTTGGCACATGATAGGCGACCCGAGTGATGATCATGAAGTGTCACCCGTTAGGGGGCTAATCCTCCA